GTTGTCGTCGTCGTCGTCGTCGTCGTTTTGGTTGCCGTCCCCGTCCCCGTCCCCGTCCACGTCCCCGTTCCCGTTCCCGTTCCCGTCCCCGTTGTCGTTGTTTCGGTCGACGTCGCCGCCGTCGTCGCCGTTGTCGTCCTTGTCCTCGTCCTCGTCCTCTTCGGCTTCGTTTTCGTTTTCGTTCGCGTTCTCGTTCTCGTTCTTGTTTTCGTTTTCGTTTTCGTTTTCGTTTTCGTTTTCGTCCTCGTCCTCGTCCTCGTCGTCGCCGTCACCGTCGCCGTCGCCGTCGCCGTCGCCGTCGCCGTCGTGCTCGCTGGGATGCGGTGGATGGTGCATATAATCCTAGATTTGTTATACAGGAGCAGCAGAACGGCGCCCCCGCCGCGATGCCCGCCCGCTGCACACTGGAACAACCCTGTTCTCTTCCGTCCTACCCTCTCTCTACCTCTCACTTTCCACCCTTCTCTCGCTCTCTCACTCTCTCTCTTTCTCTCTTTCTCCCTCTCTTTCTCTTTCTCTTTCTTTCTCTCTAATCCCCACCACTTTATCCACCACCACTACTACCATCACTACCACCACTGCTCTTCCTACTATCTATTTCTCTCTCTCTCTTTCTAACTAACATCAACATTGGCACAGCACCCTTTCTGTCTCTCTTTCATTTTCACATCACACTCATTCTCTTTGCTCTCGATCTGATCTTCTTTCTTCTTCCTCCACTTCTTCTTCTTCTTCCTCTTCTACTTAGTCGACGTTTGATCCGTTATCTTCTTCTCTCTCTCTCTCTCTCTCTCTCTCTCTTTCTTATTTTTTAACTCCCCACTATTTCATTTTATCCACCACCATTGGTATGTCTACTATCTATTTTTCTCTCTCTACATCGACAGTATTCTTGTCTCTCTCTTTTTCTCTGTATATATATATCTGTCTTTTTTACTCCTCGATCAGATTTTCTCTTTCTTTCCACTTCTTCTCCTTCTTAATCCCGAAATTTCGTTATTGTTTATCTCTCTTTCTTTTTTAATTTCTCTCTTCAATACCAAATTACGATTTCTGTTTTCCTTTAAAGCGAATACTAACTCCATTGACCAAACTCTCTCTTTCTCTCTCTCTCTCTCTACCCTTTTCTTCACATACCATCCTTTCCCTTCATTCCTTAGTATAGAAAAAGCTTAAGTGGCCTTCTTTATCTATCCATCTACCTATCTACCTATCTATCTATCTATCTATCTGTCTATTCGTCTCTCTCTCTTTTTCTCTCCCTTTCTCTCTCTCTCTCTCTCTCTCTCTCTCTGTCTCTCTTCTATATACGCGTCTATCCTTCTCCTCCGCGCTAGCGGCGGCTCGCAGAGGAGGGAATCTGCGCACGTGTGTACGTGTGCGCGCGCGCACGTCCTCGCCGGGACTCCCGCTCGATATCGAAGAGTCGACTCGACTCTCTACGACCCTACGCTACGAATGCACGTATACCGGGTGTTACCTCGATACCCCACGCGACTACAAACACGTTGTCCTTTTCTTTCTTCACCTTTTCTTTTTTTTCTTCTCTTTTATTTATTTTCTCTTTCTTTTTTTCTCCCTTCCTTCGATTTTTTCTTCCTTCCTTTCTTCCTTTCTATCCTTCTTTCAATCTTACTTTCTTTCTTACTTTTTCATACGCGTACGCGTACGATGATCTATTGACAATTTTTGCTGCGATCGTGAACTTTCGCCTTTTTTTCTTTCCTTTCCTTTTCTTTTTTTTTTTCCTATTCTTTTTTCTTTTTTCCTTTCTTTCTTTTTCTTCTTCTTCTTCTTCTTCTTCTTCTTTACGGAAAACGATGGAGCGAAGTAGAATTGAAGTGAGATGAAGCAAATATTCTTTTACGATTTAATCACATCTTCTTTAATTAATTTTTTCTACTGTGCGATGGCTGATCGGATATACATGTATTTTTATTCGATTTGTTAATGGAATAATCCGAAGAATGAATGTATGTCGGTAAGATGAATTTATTAATTTTTACGAATGATTTCTATTTGACTTTATTTTCTCTTTCTCTCTCTCTCTCTCTCTCTCTCTCTCTCTTTTACTTACCTCGTCCCAGTATCATTTTGACGTATATTCGTATAGTTCGACGATTGATTTTATTAAAGGACATTTATTTTTCTCGTATAATCCGATTGGCAACATTGTTTGTCCTTTTGTTTATCCAATTTTCTTCCTTTACGTTCGCTTTTGTCGTTTCTACTGACGAGGTTTACTTTTTCAAGTATTCCATAAAATCATTCGAAACGTAGACATTGAAATATTTTCTAACGAATTGGATGAACTATAAAAAATTTTTTTAAAAATCGATCTTCATACATTTTTAATCTATGAAATAATGATCGACAAACGAAAAAGAAAGAATATTTATGACAAAGTATTATATAAAAATTGTATTCTCAAGGAAAAATATTGTAAATTATTATATCACATTTTTTTCTCTTTTCTTTTCCTTCGATTTTTTGTTTTTTTATTTTTTGTTTCTTATTCTACACTAAAGAAAATTCTTTTGAATCTATGAAGATACAAAGTTTGTCCAGTTTTGTATGCATATATATATACATATATATATATATATGTACATATTTACATATACATACATATATACACATACACATATATATGTACATATCTATACATAAATATATACATACATATATACATACATTCATAGATACATACATACATACATACATACGTTCATACATATATACATATAAAACGTTTCTCTACGGCCTACGCAAAAGCAAAACAACAATGTCGCGACTGCGTGTTATCTAAATAGAATCTCACAGAGAGATAACTCGTGCACGCAACTTCAACGTCGCTCGTCGACACTCTCGACGTTACGTCGGTTCATTCGCTAATTATCACGTGGCTTCTTTTTCTTTCTTTCATTTTTTCTTTTTTCCTTTTCTCATTCTTTTTTTAACCACTTCATTATTCCACGTTCAAGCGATCGTTTAGAATAAACGAAACAAAAAAGAAAAAATTAAAAAAGAAAAGAAAAAAGAATCAATGCACAACACGCACTGATTACTGGTAAATATTAACGGCAATAAATAAAAATCTCGATGATCGATATTATTAATCATTTTTTTTTTTGCATGAGACAAATCATAAGAAATAAAAAAAAAATATTATTATTATTATTATTATTATTATTATTATTATTATTATTATTATTATTATTATTATTGTTATTATATATTCTCCTTTTCTGTCGTAATAAGGATAAACAATTTTCTTTGTTTTGTTCTTTCTTTCTTTCTTTCTTTCTTTCTTTCTTTCTTTCTTTCTTTTTTTCTTAAATACAATAAAATATTTATAACTTTATACGAAGGATTGTATTTCGCGACGATTGTATATCTCCATCCTTCTTTCAACTTGTATATGCCTATGAACTTAACCGCATGGTGCTTTCTTTCGTGATCGATAACGGGCACACGAGCTAAGGAAGCGTGAAAGTTAACTAGTCCATGACCGAAATTCGAATCGAGGGAGGATCGTTCGTGCTTTTTTTTTTCCTTTCTTCTCTCTTCTTTCTTTTTTCTTTTTCTTTTTTTTGTTATTTTTATTTTTCGTAAAGAAAGAAGGACGACAGTCAATCGCCAATCCAAAAAAGACATTACAAATAATTAAGCATCATTTTATAATCGGACAAACGATTTCATTCTAATTCTAATTGAGAATGGCTTTCGTTGGTACGTAAGAAAAAAACAGAAAAAGAAATAAACAAACAAACAAACAAACAAATAAACGAAAACAAAATCTTAAACAAATAACCACGTTATTAAAGAAATACTTTCATAACTCTTAAATACAATCCACGTATTAATATTTAATGTGATTTAATATGCAAGAGTAAAAAAGAACTTTTGTAATTTTCATTCAGTCTTATAAAGCGATTAACCTATACTGTTTAATTCTAAAAATAAATCGTCTATTAAAGAGTTTATTTTTAAACGTTTTTATACACATACATACGCATACATACATACACGCAAGCTTACACGCATATATATATATATATATATACATGGACAGAAAGATATGAGCTCACTTATAGTAACGTTCTCACTAATAATTTAGATTTAATGTGATGAATAAACTATCCTAAGCTTTAACTGAGTGAATTATGTATATAACGAGAAGGGATCGACTTACACAGGAACATAATTACTTCACAGAAAAAGGGAGAGAGAGAGAGAGAGAGAGAGAAAGAGAGAATATAAAAAAGAAATATATGAGGAAATTATTTTAGAAACGAATTCGAACTTTCGTTTTGTTTTCGTATTTTCTCGTTACTCGTTAATAACCTCTGGAACGAATCTCTTAATGAAGCGTTTCTTAAAAACAATCTTAGACATTTTGAACTTCGAATTACGATACCTATAACAATTTAAATTTCAAATATAATTTCCTTAATACTTAATAATGTGTATGTAAGATAAACGTCTATGTAAGATTGCAAGAAATAAAAACAAAATTTACATTTGATTTTTATTAAAAAGTAAAAAAAGGAGTTTGGTTTTTTTTTTTTTTTTTTTTTTTTTTTTTTTTTTTTTTTTTTTTTTTTTTTTTTTATTAGAAAAAAAAAGAGGAAGAAAAAAGAGAGAGAGAGAGAGAAAAAAATAAAAAATATTTCCACTCGTGTGAATAATATTTACATACATACATAACATATATATATGTATATTATTTTGACATAACTGTTGGTATTTCCATATATATATATATATATATATATATATATATATATATATATATATATATATTTTAACATTTTAACATTGCGGAAACAAAATCCGCAATCACTTAGTTGCCAATCCAATAAAATCGATACTCGTTACACACGTCACGGAATATTTTATATCATGAAAAGTAATAATTCGACATGAACGAAAGATAAGTAACAAAAAAAAAACAATTAAAAAAAGAAAAAACAAAGAATAAAATGAAGAAAAAGAAG